CATACCTTAGACCTACGGGGTACCTTACTTTTATAGCAAATAGTGTCCTCGTCCCTAGAAGTCTTACTTCATAGGATTTTATCATTTACAATGATATCAATTATCCATCGTCCCCTAGAAGTCTTAGTTCATAAGATTTTATCATTTACAATGATATCAATTATCCAAGACTCCTCCTATTTGGATTAAGATCAACCCTCTCAAAAGTCCAACATTATCCAAATAGAGAGTCTGTCATCATTTATGACTCTAATCCTTCATTTGAACATCTCGGATTTAGATGTGGTTTGACCATACCTCAACCAATCAGAATCACTTATGTGGCACCTTGGCTAACTACCTAGGCCACGTGGACAACTCAAAATTATGTCCCCACAACTACCCCCTAGATTTTATTGCCTCGACAACCTGAGATTATGGAACTTATATTATCTGATCTTCCAACATGTCGGCTAAATAACATGCATGAGATACTCCTTTGACCGAGATCATGACTTATCAGTGTCAAGAAACAAGGACTCTAATGTCCACTCATCAAAAACCAAGAACCAAGAATCAAGATGATCCTTCTCGTCCTCCTTGTCGGATGTTGGCCATATATTACTACTAAGTTCTCATAGGCGGTGCCAAATTATGGGTTTGATTTTTGACCTCACAACCAAACATATCTCTCAAAGATCTAGAGAACGTAATTGGAGAGCATGCGACAAAATAAATTAAGCTAACACCTGTGCACAAGAAGACAAAAACACCACGGTGGCTCGTCCACCTGGGGGTACTCTGACAATCAAGTCAGTAACTTATTTCTCAAAGATATCGGCACAAAATAACACTAGTTCAGAACATACCTTAGACCCATGGGGTACCCTCTTTATATGATGATTAGTGTCCAACTTTCCCTAGAAGTCCTACTCCATGGGAGTTTATGCTTTAGAAGGATAACATCTATCCAAGACTCCTCTTATTTAGATTAGGATCAATTTTCCTAAATTCCAACCTTACCCAAATAAATACTCTAACATTTTTAAGGACTCTAGCCCCTCGTTCGAACATTTCGAATTCAGATGTGGTTTGACCATACCTCAGCTAATCAGAATCACACTTCAGCTAACCACCTAGGCTATGTGGACTACTCAAAATTATGTCCCCACAGTGGTGAAGAATTGATTCAGGTAAATTGCTAATCCTATCCACTTTATCACTTGCTTCACCAAATGTTGTCACAGTAGTAATTCTGGGTATTTTGTGCCTTGATTCCATTGAATTTCTCTTGAACATTTCTTTAAACAGAGAGAAAATGGTGACTCAAATGAAAATATTTTGAAGAAAGTCATAGCAAAGACCCAGAGAATAATAACAGAGACAACCTTTTCAATTTCATTGTTATTGTCTTGACTAGTACATCTTTAATCTTTATAGACCACCAATTCAAACTCAATCACAGTGACTCTTTCTAACTTAGTATAGCTGACATGAATCTCAAGTTTGTTCTAGAGAAAGAAAATTTGAAGATGTAAAAATTTGGAAATGAGAGAGAGAAAGAGAGAAATCATATAGGAATAAGAATCCTCTATTGTGTGTGACCACCACAGCAAGAATATTATAATTCCAATTCTAAGGGTCCTCTTCTAGAGAGAGAAAGGGAGACAAATTATATATAGGGCTTATATGGACTAGACTGTGTTGTTCGGGTTCGTGGGACCCACCACAGGTCTTTGTTTCAATGATCCGAACCGTTTGATATTTAGAGCTCATCGAATACTTCATTTCTGCAAAAAAATCACATTGATTGGATATAAATAGCAACTTGATTGTATCAGATTTCTATCAATGGTATTGACTGGCAATAATGACGGAAGGTGAAACAAAATAAAAAAGTATGGGTTAGGCAAAAAGCATGTGTGATAACCCAACCTGTATTATGCTTAATTATACACACGTTTATGTGTTTAATATGAATTTGCAAGTTAAGTATGTGAATTATGTGATTTTGAATTTTATATCTGTTGAATGTAGAAAAATCTGTTACAATTAGAACTTTGAACTGAAAATTGAAAGTCTTAGAGGCGTGATAAACCAAAACTGACTTCATATTTGTGATTAGCATGATTTTTAGAGCCTATGGTGAAATTTCGTAAAATTACGATTTGTACTGTTTTAATTAGCCTATATTATATATATCTCTTTAATTCTTGAGTTCATCATTTTTTTTTTTTTAAGAGCTTTGCTAGAGGGTGAGTTAGAGAGAGAAGAAGAGGAGAAGCTAGAGATTTGGTGGAGATTCAAGGGGCAAACCCTAGATTTGAGCTAAGGTATGAAAATTTACTTGGAATTCTTGTATACATAAACCAAAACTAACTTCATATTTGTGATTAGCATGATTTTTAGAGCCTATGGTGAAATTTCGTAAAATTACTATTTGTACTGTTTTAATTAGCCTATATTATATATATCTCTCTAATTCTTGAGTTCATTATTTTTTTTTTTAAGAGCTTTGCTAGAGGGTGAGTTAGAGAGAGAAGAAGAGGAGAAGCTAGAGATTTGGTGGAGATTCAAGGGGCAAACCCTAGATTTGAGCTAAGGTATGAAAATTTACTTGGAATTCTTGTATACAACTCATCTATTGCTTGAAAACACATAGAGATTTGAAGATTTGAAACCTTTTTGGGTTAGGGTTTTGGGTTATGTGTTTATTTGAGCTAAACTATGAAACTGGAACTTGAATGTTTTGATTTTGCATGATTGGAGTTCAATCTTGTGAATAATGTATGAAACAAACCCTAGATAATTCATAAAAACAAGATTTGTTGAAAGATTGCTCATGGATCATGTATTTTGAATTTGTTTATGTAATGTATGAAATTGTGACAAGATGAGACCATGAGATTGTTGTTGATGCAAGATTGATATGTTTAATGAGGGATTACACTTGTATCATGCTTAGTTATCATGTTTTTGAGTTGTTTTTACATGAATTTGGGCTTGGAAATGAGTTTAGGAAGTTTGTATCTTTGATCTATTTTCGAACTGTTTGATTTTGCCCAGATCGCACGAGCGGAACATGAAGAAAAAAAAAAGAGTTTTCATTCTGTTCCTTGGGCGCTCGAGCGGTCGATTTTTTCGCTCGAGCGGATTTGGGCCGCACAAGTGGTGAAGACTTCCGCACGTGCAGAACCCCTATTTCAGCCCAACTTCAAAAAGGCATATCTCCTTCATCCGGATTCCGTTTTAGATGATTATTGAGCCTAAATTCAAGCCCCGGAAGTCTAGTTTCCAATAGTAGTGGTATCATATCCAAATTCTAAATACACAAGTAGATATGTTTAAATTAGTGAAGGTTGTTCATTTTCTTTCTAACCGTTTCATGCTATTTCCTCTCCTAACCCCGTTTCCTTTCGTTTCTTCCTATTTTCCTGGACACGGATTATGACTCATTAAGGACTAATGAGTTTAGAACCAACAAAAATAATTGGTTAAGGAGCAAAGTAAGGGATTGATTTATTTGGTTAAGAAAAGATTAAGAGAAGTAAATTTGATCAAGAGAGTAATTCCATGTTCCAATATGTTGTGCCATGCGCATTGTGTTTGCAGGCCATGATTCGAGGACCGATCAACCATTTCTGGAAACCACTGTGAGTAATAGTATAGTAATGATATGTTTTCATTATCTACTTTGATTTATGTACGACATGATCTTTTAAATATCGTATTTTGTCAAAATGCACAAGTTTCTAAGAAATGTAAAATGAGTTATGAACAAGAAATGTGAATTGTTTGTAATATGATATGGTGGGCCCAAGGCTGTTCCATGTATCTGTTCCGTTTATGCTATGACATGATATGAATTGTTTAGTCTTTAAGACCTATTGATTTTTGGTATGGAACAAAGTGCTGTATGAAACTAAGTGCTACAGTGGGAGCCACCTCTAGAGTCCGTACAAGTCACCTCTTGGGTCTATACATACCGAAATAATTGGGCCCGAGGTCGCTTGTTATATGTTGGGCCCGAGGCCGCTTGTTATATGATTGGGTCCGAGGCCGCTTGTTAAATAATTGGGCCCGAGGTCGCTTATTATATGTTGGGCCCAAGGCCGCTTGTTATATGATTGGGTCCGAGGCCGCTTGTTAAATAATTGGGCCCGAGGCCGCTTGTTATATGTTGGGCCCAAGGCCGCTTGTTAAATAATTGAACCCAAGGCCGTTTGTTATATGATTGGGTCCAAGGCTGCTTGTTATGTGATTGGGCCTAAGGCCATTTTGAATATATGAATATATGAAAATGGACATTGTGAGAATCTTATGATCACCTATTTACCCTGCTTTACTGAATTATTACTCACTGAGCTTCGCTCACCCAATATTATGTATACACATGTAGGTGATCAGCAGCATGGAGCGCATCCCTAAAGTCAGCTTTAGGAGCTATTTTGTAACCCAATCGAGTCATGCCTCTGAAATGGAGTTTTGTCTTTGACTCACACCACACGTTGACCTTATTTTGCTTTTGCCATTATGGTCGTGGGTTTATAAATAATATGTGTAAATTTCTTGTGGCACTTATATTTTTTGATGGGCATATATATGTATTATTGTGTTACGTGGTTAACTCTATGATTTTGTTCATGATTGACACAGCTCAATGGACTTCTCTTTATTATATGCTTTCATTTATGGCCCCATTAGCATAAATATTCTGTATGATCGTTTGAGGCCTTCGGTAATCTACAGATTATTGGCCGGTTATGACCCAAACTTTTAGGGACGAATTCGAGTCATGGCATCATGTATGCTCATGTTTTTGACCCAGTGTAGAACATTAACGTTAATGCATCCTTAAGTTGCTATTTTTTTCCTTCTTTTCTACAAAAGATCTTACCAAATCAATCCCACAATACCACAGTACCGAGTACCACATGGAAGGTCAAATGCATGGTAGAGCAAAGGCAATTCTCCCCAGAATTTTGGGAAAATTAGTATTTTGAATTTTGATTTGACAAGTATTTATCAAAGATGCTAACTATTTATTTTACTTTAAGTAAAATGGTATTTTATCCCTCTATATTGATCTCTTCCATGATATTCCATGATAGTCCAGGGAGCAAAATGATAAGGGACAAAATAAAGATTTTCCCAATTCTTTTCCTATTGTTGGGTACAATTTCGTTACATTTCACTAATCCTAACAACCAATTGAAGGAAGAAAAGCATTTTAGTTCCGTCTGTGTTTGACCCTGTCTCTTTTTCTCCCCGTTATGTGTGCGTATTTCCCAGTGTTTGTATAAAAAGTCTTCCTCTAAAACTGAAGGTAGTGTTTGGAGAATAGCCGACAATATTCCCATTCTTCTCTGCATCATCACCCTAAGTGGAGATCCAAATGAGTGTTGGATGAACTTTCCTCTTCTGCTTCTGTATCATTAGTGTGTTCTTCCTCCAGAACCTGTTCAATTTGTTTAAGAACCATTTCTTCTTCTACTGCCAATTGTATCATACACTCTTCGAATGCAGCCACCAGCTCTGGGTCAAAGATGGAGTCCTCCCTGCATTCTTTATCTGACCCAGCCATGGGTACGTTATAGCTGCCAAATTTAGGTGTGACAAGCTCCAGGGGAGTACACTTTTCCCCCATTTGAAGCCATTCCCTGAGACTTGCAACATTAGGGAAGTCAATGGTGGACGGGGTTTGGAGTGATTTTAGGCTTTGCGCAATGGCTTTTCTTTTCAGGCCTTTCTCAGAGATGTTTCCTTCATGTGCAACTTCCTCAAAAGTTTTTGATTTCTCAATTAAGGTGGAACTGTTAAGACTTGGTAGCACTTGTTTAGTTCCTGGTCCTGAAGTTAAGGGATTTATAGTCTTGTCAGTCATGGAATTCTCTCTGATTGATTCTTCAGATGATTGTGTAGATTCATGGATATTAGAGCAGTAGTAATCATCAACACGTTGAGATTTCTTGGAGGAACATTTAGAATGTTGCATTTCGGTTGCTGAATCATGCTTATAATCACCAAACTCTTCCACCTGTTTCCTGACCAGCTGAATATTTTCTATCATTGCATCATATTCCTCTACTGTGTGAAAGCTTCTAGCGCGTGCAACACCCTTACTCCCCCATTTAAACTCCTCTTCAGTAAACTCGTCATCCCTGGGAACTCGAGGGGACATTTCATTCTCTGGCGACCAGTGACAGCTTTGAGATCGATTAGCTTCATAGATATCAAGTTTTTCTACTCCTGGGCATGGTAGCAGCAAATGATTTGCATGCTGCACTTCTTGTTCTTCTTCAAGCCCTGCAATCAACTCCCATGTATTGATGGTCTCATGTTTATTTGAAGGGTAATGAAGAGTTGGTTTGGGGCCTGTGTTTTAATGGCAAAATGGAACTTCCTGTTAGGAGATTGTTGATTATTGTTTAAGCAGTAGAAATAAAATCAGGGAATTGATCGCTGCCATTACCAGTGGTGAATATTTCTTCTAGCCCAAGAATGCCATCTGTTGTCCTCTGCAAGCTTTGTCTCATCTCCTTACGAAAACTCATTGATTTACTTAAAATTTTGGAAGAAATGCACCCCATTTGGACAAAGGTTGAACCTTGGCCTTGTGCTGCACTGCACATAACATGGATGGTATATTAGTATTACGAAAGGGTCAGACACATGAATGATAGGATTTCCATGATAATATATTATTACATATGCACATATGTTTCAACTAGGTAATCAATATATTGGAGATCACAATTTGATCCTTAGAATTTATAAGAACTTCTTGTTCAAGTATCTAGAGTCACCATTGCACTGTTGATTACAGTTAGACAGAAAATGATTTTTTACAAATAGAATTTATATACAAAATACATCTAGAATCATGTGATAGTGGCGTGCTTATAATTATGAACCATAATGATGAGTGTTTCGGTTGAAAATAAAAAGACCATAAAAAATCACATGACATTCTGTGTGAAATTTCTGAACAGAAATTATGTTTGCATAGCATTACTCGAAAACTCGTATAATTTTTGGTAAATTGTAAAGTCCTATTATCATTTGTTTATTAAAAAAGAAAATTGGGAATCAAAATGATAAGGAAATATTTCAGCTCCAAAAGAGGTATAGGGAATCAAATGTCTTGAGGCTTGGAAAAATTTTAGACTTAAAATTGATTCATATAAATTCTATATTTAATCTATACATAGTACATGACATAAATATGTATATATATATATATATATATTTAGATGAACACCATAAACGCAGAAGTCAAATCCAGTGTTTGAACTTTGAGATCGCTGCACTGCAGTACTGCAATCCGAAAAGCCATTCAATCCTCCGACCTCTAAAAAGTAATAAAAGGGCGGCAGCCAATACACACGTATTCAAACAAGACATACAAAGATGAAATCTCAAAGAAAGAACCCTGCGATTCATTCTCTTTCCTTGGTTTTCTCATGCCATGCTATTCTAATGATGACGATGATCAAGAAGAGCTCGATGGAATGAATGAAGAGAATGAATATAAATTTAGGGAAGAATTTAAAAGTGAATTGGTTGTGGAATTTGACCTCACCTAAGTATGTATGTATGTATGTATGTATGTATACGTCTCTGTCTTGCTATCGCCTGGTCGGATGGATCTCAGCTCAGCTAAGCAGGCGGTCAGAGCAGCAGCGCTCTGCAGTGCGTCGTATGGATGGTCGGAATCCTCCTCCTCTTCAATCAATCAGTGAGTTACAGTTACAGTTCTAATTCTAGTTCTAGTTCTAGTTCTAATTCTAATTCTAATTCTAATTCTTCGGAGAAGAGAGGAGAGGAGAGGAGAGGCGAGGCCGCAGCAGCACCAAAGTCAAACATTCAATTCAACTCCATGGGAGGCGCCGTGCTACTGCTAGTACTAGACTAAGTAATCATTTTTGTATGAGCAATGCTATCGAAAGTAGACTGCTTCAAAGTTTCAAACTGCTCCCAAGAAAAAATTATTTAATTAATAATTAATAGGGTGAATTACAATTCTATCTCTTAAAATTTTAAAAAATTGCAGTGCATGCACCCCACTGATTTCAAAAAATTACACCAGTCTCTTTACACTACTAATCAAATCATATAATACTTTCTTTTTTTTGAAAAAAAAATACACAATATACTACAAAAATAAAATAAATGTACTCGTTACAATTTCAATAACCATAATTGTTTATAGTCAATATGAGATTTATCACTGCAAAAAAAGAGGAGAAAAAGATAAATAGTGATACAATAAAATTTTAGATATTCTTTTACTTTCAAAAATTGTTTTGATTAATAATTATATATATATATATATATATAAAGAACATTTAGACCAAGTTTGACATGATTGAAAAAAGATAAAAAGTCAAAAAGTCACTATCCTATTTAAGTCACATCATCTTATTTAAGTCACATCACCTCTCTAACACATCACTTTAAACCTAACCTAAACTCAACCCATATTTCATAAAAATTTAAAAAGTGCACTTCTTTAGTCTTTCCAAACTAGGCCTTAACAAGTGAAATCCTCCACCACAGCCCTAGGCAAGCACATCCTCCCTCATTCTTTAGGTACATTCATGGCATGGTGGCAAATCATTATCAAATTTCTAGACATTCGTTACAACTATTTCCTTAGAACCTGCATGATGTTTCCCCTCATTTTCTGCTCTAAAATGAAAACCTTTTATTTGTTCTTTTGGCCGCTTATTTATTTATGCTTTGTTTAGTTGGCAGATTTGAGAAAGGATTTATAAAGAAAAATAAAAATGCTAGGTGAAATGTGAATAAAATATACTTATATTTCACCTAATTTTACATGTCCTTTTCCTTTCCCTTTCCCTTTCCCTTTCCCTTTCCCTTTTTATTTTCAAATCTCTCCCCAAATCTTCCAACCAAATATAACGTAAGGGTTTAAATTCTTTCTAAGAGTACCTTTAGGTTTGGTAAGTGCATCGATTTCAGTGATGTGAACTATTTACTTTTTAGTATTCGTTAAATAGATTATTCATATAAAAAATTAAGATAATTAAATATCGATTATTATATATTTAAAGCACATTTGTATTATAAAAAATAAAAATAAAAAACTACTTTTGAAATTATAATTGTTATTATTTTTTTAAAAAAAATGTAATTTAAATATATAATTATCAATGTGTGATCATATTAACTTTTTACATGAATATTTTACTCAATGAATATTAAAAAGTGAACAGTTCACATCATCGAAATCGGCTCCAAATTGGGTTCACCAAGTTCAAATGCTCTCGTAAGTTACATGACCAATTTTGAGAGAATTCAATCCTTTCATATACATATACACATTTGGTTATGACTGTACTGTTAATTATGATACATTTTGATATTGGTTATGATATTATTTTAATTATAATTAAAAAGTTGTTTGATTATACCCATCATTTTGAAGGTCGGTATGTACCGCAACATCACCCGTTTATATATTGCAAACGTTGAAACTAGATTCAATTTGCAATTTGAAAGAAGTTAATTTCACACTTCAAATCACTAATTTAAGGGAAATTTTCAAAATGTGAAAGAGACGAGAGTACCCACCAACTTTATTGCCACATCCATGTCCCCCAACCGCTTTTATCACCAGCAATTGCGGCATTGATCATCTCTACAGCACTGTCGTTGTCAGCGTCGCCGTATTCACTTCCACCGTGACATTCATCCATATGTCCACAATTTCCATGGCCATCCATCATCGTTCCTTGACTCGGTTAGCGTATTTAATAACTATAAAAAATTGTAGCACAGCCTGAGCCCCCACCACGACGTCCGAATGATGTAAGACGTAAGTTAATTATAGCGGTACTTTCGTGATAAATTTTATAAATATTAAAAATTATAATTATAATTAAAACTTGAAAGTTGAAAGTTGCACTTACCAATAAATTGCCCCTTAATTATACATGCTGTTGGAATTAGATACCTTGTTTTTCCTAATCTTTTCACATTACCTAGTGAGGGCGATTCATGATCCCCAACCAAAAATTTAGCCTTCGTCTGGGAAGTGGGTTTGGCTTTTTGATTTTTTGACTTTTTTGGCTATTTTAGCTTGGACTAAAAAGCTTGGTTTGGGAAGAGCTTTTTTGACTTTTTTTGTGAGAGAAGAGTGTAATGATTATGGATTGGATGTGATGTTTTGTTTTTTGTGGCTAAAATAGTCTATTTTGTCTTTTGTGGCTAAAATAGCCAAAAAAGCCCCAAATCTATCTTTCCAAACGGAGCCAAGCTTTTAAGACAGGATAGGATTAGGAATGAGTGTATTCGGGAATGGGTAGGAGTAGCACCGATAGAAGATAAGTTGAGAGAGAATCGTTTGAGATGGTTTGGTCATATTCAACGGAGACCAACAGAGGCAGTAGTGAAGAGATGCGATGCTGTAACGGTAGATGGAAGTGTTAGGGGACGGGGTAGGCCTAGATTAACGTTGACTAGCGTTATAAATAGAGATATGAATCTACTTAATTTGACTAATGAAATGGCCTTTGATAGGGCCGCGTGGAGAAGAAGGATTCATGTAGCCGACCCCATTTGATGGGACTTAAGGCTTCGTTTGGTTTGATTTGGTTTATTATGCCTTCCATAATATTAAATTATATCTTATGTGATAATCAAATTCACAAATCACATACCTTACGCGTCATACCCATCATTTTGAAGGTCGGTATGTACTGCAACATCACCCGTTTATATATTGCAAACGTTGAAACTAGATTCAATTTGCAATTTGTAAGAAGTTAATTTCATACTTCAAATCACTAATTTAAGGGAAATTTTCAAAATGTGAAAGAGACGAGAGTACCCACCAACTTTATTGCCACACCCATGTCCCCCAACCGCTTTTATCACCAGCAATTGCGGCATTGATCATCTCTAAAGCATTGTCATTGTCAGTGTCACCGTATTCACTTCCACCGTGACATTCGTCCATATGTCCACAATTTCCATGGCCATCCATCATCGTTCCTTGACTCGGTTAGCTTATTTAATAACTATAAAAAATTGTAGCACAACCTGAGCCCCCACCACGACGTCCGCAATGATGTAAGACGTAAGTTAATTATAGCGGTACTTTCGTGATAAATTTTATAAATATTAAAAATTATAATTATAATTAAAACTTGAAAGTTGCACTTACCAATAAAATTTTATAGCGGTGCTTTTGTACTTTCCATGGCCATCCATCATCGTTCCTTCACTTCCCAATTAAATTTCCCCTTAATTATACATGCTGTTGGAATTAGATACCTTGTTTTTCCTAATCTTTTCACATTACCTAGTGAGGGCGATTCATGAGCCCCAACCAAAAATTTAATTGATGATGTAGAAGAGTCTCTCAAGTACAGTCTGATTCCAATCCATTATTATATATAATTGGCTGTGATTTAGTTGGCGCAATAACAAAATCAATCAAAACCACGGGAAAAAATCTATTGTACATACTTCTCGAAAAGAATGTATTATATGTACTATAGTTATATCATTTTTTTCATTAGTTATAATTAATTTTTTTTCTTTAGTTATGGTATGATTTTAGTTATGATTCATGAGATATTTTATTATACCTCATGTGGTATTTGTTTATGACTTTTTTTTTATATATAAATTTAATTATGATTCAGAAAATATGAAATTATATCATTTTTTTATTTAATTATAAAATGCAGATGGTACACATCATAGTCTTTCCCAAAAAACTATCAATTGTAGTCGGACTCGTATTAACATTATTGCTCATTGATGAATAATTGTACCGATTGTTTGGTTGGATTGTTTGCTTGCAACTCAATTTCAATTTATTTTCTGTCCAAATGTGAGTATGATATTTTGACAAAATTAATTCAAATTAGAGCGTTTGAACCCTTTGTAGTTTTCATATAGTGGTTTAAAATGACGTCTTTTAGAAGCATAGGGAAATAGAGAGAAGACTAGCAAAAGATGGCCGCAAGCAGCCGAAGACGTCATCACCAACCTCCAACCTCAGTGCACGGTCTCCTTCTCTCCTTATTGTCCTCTTCTTCCGTAATCATTTTGTAGATTTGAGGCTCTATTTTCCTATGTCTTTTTCTCTACTTTTCTTGTTCTAAGTTATGTTTTCTTGGATAGATTTTGATTCTTCGGGTTTCGATTTGGGGGTTTTGGCTTAAAATACCAAAGTGTTGAACTTATTGAGGGGCAAACTGTGACAACCCCGTCACGTATTATGCTTTTAATCATTTAATTGGAATGCTAATTATGTGGTTACTATGATTTTCATATTTATATCTGTTAGCCGTTGGAATATCTGTTGTGATTTCTGTTATAATCTGAAATTGAAGGCCTCAATGGCATGACAAATCATAAGTGACTAATTTAATGTGAATGTCATAATTCTTAGAACCTACTGAGAAGTTTGATTAAAATTTGATTCAGATTAAATTAATTAGATTAAACTAAATAGAATTAAGTGTAATTGGTTAATCTTAAGCCTTAATTAACTCCCTAATCAAATCCTATGTATATATAGATTGCAACATGCCCGAGAGGTACCCGTGTGCATTAAACAGTTTGGCCCTCGGTCTCTTTGATCTAGTCTCACTAGTGTAATGTGAAACATAGATGAGAGTCCAAATTTGGCAACTTTTAAGAAATTCATTTTATTGCAAAACCTTTTGCCAGAAATGGACTGCGTCATCAGATCTCAGAGTCGCCACCTAATATTTTTGAGAAATTAGGAAACCCATGACTCGTGCCAAGGCCACTGTTCGTCATAACCAAAGTTGTCTCGATTCGGAACCTTAGGTATGAGAGGGGAAGGTCATTAATTGAGCATCCCCACTCACCTGATTAAAAGATTGGCCTTTACTAAACCATGATATGAATTTTATTTATTTTATATGTTTATATTTCGATTATTTAATAAATTCTAAAAATTACTATGTGAAGCATACAAGTATAGACTATGTCATTTATTTTAGAATAATTTGATTTCATGTAGTTTTGAAAGAGTTTTAGAGATGTACAACCCAAATAAATTGAGTTTA